TATTAAAAGGGCGCTAACCCATCCTGGAGGCCACATCCTCACGACCTCATCCCCGAGGTCCCATAGCCTAACACCACCACATTGGGGGTTAAAGCTTCAGCAAACGAGTTGTGGGCAAAGATCCAGCTTATTCTGTGCCACCAGCCTTTCTGGGGTCACCGTTGTCTCAAAAACCACTTGCAGGGCCTCAGCATGTCCCATCTGCTGTTGGGACGAAAGGAATCTGAACGCACTGGAAGGCTCTTTAGGGGACCCGCCGTCAGACTGCTGTGTGGGAAGGACCTGGCTTCCTGAAAACGGGTCCGTGGCGTCAGGGGGGCAGTCAGAATGGTGTGGGTTCCGTCCGCAGGGTTTCCCCGCCCAAGTTCTGGCACGTTCCTTCAGACACCCGCAGCTTCGCTTTCCTTGCTGTGAAGACGGTGCTGATGCCCGTTCACAGGCTGGTTCAGGTTTATAGTCCTGGGGCTCAGGAGGAGCTCCAGGCCGTGCCTGACAAGTTACAGGGGCTCGATTAGTGGGTAAGTTGGGGGGGCTGCACCCTGAGACGTGGCTGGAGCCCTGCCTCACGTCTTCCAGGTAGTGGCTCAGTTAATGGATGGAGATGAAGTCAGCCTGCGCTCCCGGCTCCAGCCCACCGGCTTTCCCTGCCGCCGAGGGGCGGCCCTCCTTCTGGTCACTATTTGGAAGCTGAGAGGTCCAGCTGGAGGCGCATCCTTGGGCCCCGTCCACCTGTCCTGACCGCAGCTCCCAGCCCCCAGGCAGCTCCGGCTGTGCCCTCTGGAGGCTGCTGCCAGCCCTCCCTGGGCGTGGTGTGGTCATTACCCCCTGCACCTGACCTTGCAGCTGTCCCTTTGCTCCTCCGGATAGGTGAGAAAGGAGAGGGGGAGCTTCCCAAGGTGTGCGTGTGGTCAGAGTTTTCCTTAGGTGTCCCCGCGCCTCCCCTTTTTTACTTCCTTGCTACTGCTTTTCCCGGTCTCTGTGTCCTGTCCTCCGAGTGGGCCGGGGGCCAGCGGGCTTGCCGGGTAGGGAGGACAGCATTGGTCACAGTGCCCTCTGAGCTCTTCTGTCTTTGCGGTCATTCCCCTGCTACCTTCACTCGGCCCTGCTCAAGCTGCCCCCCCCTCCATGTCAGCGACACTTTTCTAGGGTTTGGAAAAGACCAGATACCACGTCATTGCCCCTCACTGGGTCCTTGCAGCTGTTGGCATGAGGCAGCTTGAGGTTGAACCCCAGCCCTGCACACTTTCTCAGGTGTTGCCGTGGGCGGGTCGCTTCCCTCTCCTGAACCTCAGTGTCCCCATTGGTCAAGTGAAGGGGATGGTGTTTTCTTCCCGGGGTGGTTGTGAGGCTCCGTGAGCTCGTGTGTGTGGAGGTCAGAGCCTGCAAGGTGGGAGGGCTCAGTAAGGGGGCCTGTCACTCACTGCCTTTGTCAGATGGGGAAACTGTGGCGACTGTGTCACTGTGTCATTGCCCGAGGTCCCCCAGCCGGTGGGCAGCTGGGCTGGGATTTGATCCCTGCCTGTCTCATCCGGAGCCGAGTGCCTGCTCATTTTACATCCTCGCTTCTCCCACGAGTCTTCCTGTTGGTGAACTGTTTCTTGTGGTATGACTCACCTGTGCAGGCTGCAGCCAGCACCCGGGTGGATGGACACCTTCTCTGTATCAGACCCTGAGCAGACAAGGCAGAATGCACATTCATTTAATGGGGTGAATGGGGCGGCCTAGAGGATGGAGGACTCCCTCTCCAAGAGTGGAACCTGTGAGCCGTGTCTGCCCCGAGGAGCTGGGGCTGGACTGGCTTCAAGGAGAAGAGTGTGGATGTCACTTGTGGGGTGTGTATAAAGCCTGATGAGTTGACTGACGCTCCTTGAATGGGGTTTGACCAGTGGGTTTGGTCATCATAAAACTGTTGACCCTTGTTAACAGTGGCCTGTATTGTCCTTGTTTTCAGTGTGGAATAATTTTTTGGCTATTTGGTGGTGCCATCAGGAATCTCGGAAGCCCGGGACACGTAATGAAGTGGCTTCGGCCACTCCAGGTATGGCATGTACCTCAATAGATGTCTTCTTCCGTGGAGAGCCTTGAAAATTCACAGTAGCGAGATGTGTTTGTGTGTGACTGCAGAAGAGGAAAATGAAACAGAGAATTAGTGTCAGCCAGAGCTTTGTTCACAATGAGAATTTCGAGGCTGCCTTTTTAAATTGCATTGCGTCTGTCGTACTGTTATCACATTAGCTGTCACCAGGCTGAATTTTGTAATTATCTCCAAGTCCCCTCCTCCTCTGTCCCCAACGTTCTTAATGATCTGAGAGTCTGCAGTTAGAGCAACTGTCTGACGCTGATTTCCTTCGTTTTTTTTTGGGGGGGTAATTATGTTCTTTAATTTATTTATCTGTTTTAATGGAGGTACTTGTGCGGGCTAGGCAGGCACTCTACCACTGAGCTACACCCTCCCCCTCTTCTAACATCTTGGAAACTCCAGGAGCAGAAGTACATAGGGATGTTCGCGATGACCGAGAGGGGCCATGGGAGCAACATGAGAGGGATCCAGACGGAATCCACCTTCGACCTCTCTGCACAGGTGAGGGGTTGGTCCACCGTTCTGAGGCCCAGGGCAGCAGGGGACTGCACAGAATGGGCTCTCCTCTTCCCGAGCGCGCCTTCACCCTCTGCTGTGTGTGCTCCTGGGCCGAGGTGTTCAGATTCAGAAGAATTGCCCAAGTGCTTGAGTGGAGGTGGACACGAGCTCAGCCGTCATGAGTCTAAGACCAGCCAACCCATACACAGCACTTACTGTGGGACAGGCACTGCTCCGCGCCCTTCATGTGCACCGGCTAACTTTTTCTTTTCACAAAAATCATTGCCTTGTATGGGTCCCATTTTCCCCAAACAGCATAAATGATTTAGCTGCCTGGTGTGCTTCTGCAGGGGAGTTGCAAAGTTGAAATCTGATGATGAGTGGACGCTGGTGGATGTGCTGCCTCCCGGGATGGGGATGGGATGGGGTAGGGGGTGAGGGAACAAGCCCACAGCAGCTCAGGCCGCCGAGGGCTGGCTTAGCAGGGACCGGATTCCTCCCTCCTTGGTTTCTGAGTTTCTCCCTACATTTCCCTTTTAAATGCCAGAACGTATCGGATGAGCTCCCTCTTCCTCCAGGACTGTGTCAGCCTCTTATGTTTTTGGGTTATTTACTCCTGCAGATTGTTTGTTTTATTTTTATGTTTGGATGGCAGATTGAGGAGTGGTATGGAGAGCTTAGAGGTTAAGAGAGAGTTTTATTTCTGCACTTCACTTGAGATCACAAAAACAAAAGAGGCCAAGAGCGCCGTGGCCAAAGCCGTCCTTTTTCGTGCTTATGGAACCGGCCGTTTTGCCGGTCTTCAACAGCTAATGCTGATAGGAGCTGACACACACGGTGTGCGTTATTTAGATCCAGCTTTCACGCCAGCGTTTTGGCTGATGCTGACCTTCCGAATCAAGGAATTTTGCCAGAAGTGACAAATCTCCTTTCCCAGAGTGGATCAGATGTCGATGGGGACGGATGGCCTCCTTGTGTGCTCCCCACAACCCCAGACCTTTTCTGCCAGGCCAACATTTCTCTGCCACTTCCCTTCCCACCCTCGAGGGGTTAGTGTCCCCTCACCACATGGCTTTGTTGCGGTGGTCTGTTACTGCATCCAGCCTCAGAATAACTCCTTCTTGGGGAAGTCCTGGCTGGTCTGATAAGACAAGGGCGGCCTCCAGAGTCTTCTCTTATAAAGAATCAGCTTGTCCATTTATGTTTCTGAAAAGCACAGGTCAGAAGTTTCCCGTGTGCACACATGTCAGAGAGTGTTTTCTTGGGCTTCGAGACTGTATTTCTTGGCCAGAGGGGAAGTGCAGTCTAACAGCGTGAAATCCAAGATGATCTTTGATCAATTGCTTGTTGGTTTGGTTCAGCCACATCTTCAATACTGTCAGTGTCACTTAACGTTTGCAGTTCTGCTTTTTCTCCGTTTCTCCCTGGGACTCTCAGACCTGTCCCAGGTACCCAGCATCCATAGCCGGCAGTGAGCATCCGTCTCTCCTTG